GCTACGAGGAGCCCAACGCCTGGAGGATCTCCCGCGCCTTCCGCCGGCGCTGAGCCCGGCGCCCTCCTGGGCTGCTGCTTTCACATTGCTGGCACTGGGACCTCTGCACTCTGCCAGGGGGCTGGCAGACAGACATTCCCCTGCAGACAGACAGACATTCACCTGTGCAATGCACCTGCAGTCAGCCTTGGGGCACCCCAGATGTGCTGCAGCTGCATGGGCCGCTTCAGCCTCTCACAAGTGGGTCTTGGAGCACTTTAGTGATTCCCCTTTTAAGAGGCAAAATCTAAGACTCAGGAGTCTGGGTTCTGAGCTGAACAACACCAAAAAATGGTGGTTTAAAACTGGTTGTTCACCAGCCTGACTGGGTTCTGAGTGACCAGAGAAACAGAAGCTGGAATAGTTGGTGTTTTTACCCTGCTAAAAGGGATTTATTTCTGCTTAATGTTCTTGGTCAGTGACTGCTTTTTGGGAACAGCCTGTTCTCTATTTTATGAAGTTTATGCATTTTCCCATGTAATGTAACTACTTGTATTTTATTTAAGCCATCTGTGGTGAGATATTTAGTATCTCTGGCTTTGGGATAAGGTAGGAAAAATTCATGAAACCCAGCTAGAATATATTTGGACAATGGCACAGGTCAGACTGCACCCTTCGTCCCCATCTTCTGGGTGCTGAAGGGTTTATCAACCAGTAATCCCCTCTACAGCACAGTTCCATCTGGAAGTGGTTACAAATGTTTAGACTTTTTATACAATGTGCCATATGCTTTATTTTCACTTAAAATGTTTGGTGACATTACAGCTCTTGGGGTTTTGTAATAGAATGAGCTCTGTACAGCCAAAATGTCTGTAAAAATTGTATAACAGTTTTTTGTTTTAAAAAGAGGTTGACTGCGCGGTGTGTGCTATGTCATGCCCAAACTATCTGTAAAATATTTTTTTGTTGGTAACAGATGAAATTTATTTGACTCCATAGCTTCAGAAACCTTATTTTTTCCAAAGCTGGGACACGTGCTAAAATTACTGTTGAAATGAAGAGAAGTAGCTTGACTGGTTGTTTTACATAGTGAATTGGAAGAATGTTTCACATTGAAAAGTAGCTGTGTTGGAAATACCTCTCTGTACAAAGTTGAGCAGGGATGTTGTTAAATGTCCTGAGCTTTCTCTCACATTATATCATCATAAAATTAAAGGGAATAACAAAGTTTGTAACTTTGGACTCGGAGGATCAAAGAGAATCAAAGCAAAAAGGACAGGAATGGAAGTGCCTCCAAAACATGCCTAAAGCAAATTTAGGGAAATGGAAACAGGTGCCTGAGGTGCCATGAACTCTTTCAGCCTCCCCTGAGGCACCTTCCTCTCTCCTGCTTTGCTTTCTCACCTGATACTTTCCATGGTTCCCTAGGGGCCAGGAGAATTGTTGTGAGCATCCAGAGCAGAGCCTGGCATGCACAGTGGTGTGTTGGTGCACTGCTCTTCCTGAAGCAGGCAGGCACAGCAAAGCTTTCAGGGCTTTACAGCTCCAGCAGAAATGGTGTGGCTCTGTGCTGGGCACTGCTGAGGCCACAGCTCAAATCCTGCATCCAGCTCTGGGCCCTTCACTGCAAAAAGGACATTGAGGGGCTGAAAGTGTCCAGAGATGGCCAGTGGAGCTGGGGTTATGATCCAGTTGTTAGATGCTTCTCCTGAATTAAGGTGCAAATGAGACCACATCCTGAAGTCAATGTATGGATTTTATTTAACTGCAAATATGAGGTAGAGAGAGAGAGAGAGAGAAATAAATAGGAAAAGGAGAAATGGGGAGAGAATGAAGAGAGAAACAGATGAAGCAGAAAGCTGTTCACCCTGTGGGTCCAGTGGTGTCCCATTGATTCTCTTCTGGTGTTCTTGGTGGTGGGGGTTCCATGAAACAGAGTTCGGTGGGTTAATAAACATGCAGGTATAGATGGGAATGCCCACTCACCTTCCTGCTGGGGGGCAGTTCTGCAGTGTCTTTTACAACAGACTGGTTCTGGTGCAACACTTGTGCATCCTGTGCACTCTTCAGAAGTGAGGCTGGGGCACTCTGGGGGTCTCTGATGAATTATGATCCCTGCCAGGACTGCCTCTCACAGGAATGGCCCTGGTGAATGTGGTGTGTTTTACACCAGAGCCAGTTTGTGCAAGGGAGGACTCTGCAGGGTCTGATTCTTACCTGTCTTGTAGCCAGGGGATGTGTTCACCCCTCTACCACCTTTGGAAATCACACCCAAAAACTCCTCCTCACCCTTTGCCTGGGGGGAAGAATGTACAAATCTGGCCACAGCAAATGAGTCTGGGCTGTGCACCCCTGCTGAGCCCAGTGAGAGCAAATTTCCAGCACAGCTGCTGGGTTGGGTGGATACATTCTTCTCCCAAGCTTGTTAACTTCTCCTTAGACCTGAGATAATTGGGCAATAGTGCCAGCTTTATTTTATCTGAAGTTCCTGCCAGAAATCCTATTAAGGGGAGTGGAGTGGGCTTTGGTGCGATTACTTCTTGGCTACAATGGGCAAAGCCCTTGGGTGATTTTAACAGTTTGAGCCATTAACTATTTTAATCTCTCTCAGAAGGGTCTGGAGCACAGGTCTGATGAGGAGCAGTTGAGGGGCTCAGGAGGGACCATCTCACTCTCTACAACTCCCTGACATGAGGTTAGAGCCAGGTGGGTGTTGGCCTCATCTCCCAGGCAACCAGAGATAAGCCAAAAAAATGGCCTCAAGTAGTGCCAGAGGAGGTTTTGACTGGGTATTAGGAAAAATTCTTCGTTGAAAGGGTTGTCAGTCATTGGCACAGGCAGCCCAAGGTGGTGGTGGAGTCACCACCCTGGAGGGGATTTAAAAGGCAGGTAGATGGGTGCTTAGGAATAGGCACAAGTTCTTCCTTAGTCTCTGACTTGTGGAAGCTTCTTATGGAGTGTTTTATGGAGTTTTATGTGAGCTGTTTATCTCCCTCCTGGAAGCTCCTGCTCATTTTCAGGAGCAGCAGAAAAACTTTTGGACTCTTGCCTATAACTTCCATCCCAGCTGCCTCTCACTCCAGCTGAACTGGAAATGTCAGTGTATTTATTGACTCCTCTGATCTGGTGATCATGAATCTCTGAGCTTTGGAGGTCACTGCTCCTCAAGGAGGGGAGCCTTACCTTCTGATTGCTGGAGCTGCTCTGTGGCTGTTCATCTGTTGCCCTGACTTGAGAAACCTGAATGAAATTGCACTGAAATGTGTGAACTCACTCCCTGAATTCCTGTTCTGGAAGGAAGGGCAGAGGGGTGGCCCAAAGGATAAATGTCAAGTCCTTGGGAGTCCAGGTGGAAGTATCAAAGCTGTGAGCTGGTGCCAGGGGGAGGTGCAAAGCAAGGTCAGCAGGTAAAGGAGGAGCACTCGGTGAGCTTGCACTGGCCAAAGCCAGGCCAATTTATTAATGATAGTATTTTTACACTCATAGATAGTAAAGGCAGCTTATACCAGAGTAAGGGTTCCCCTTCACCCTTCTGGGACCCCACAGGAGCTGTGCTGGCCAGGGAGGTGCAGGGCAAGGCAGGAGGGTCAGGAACTGTCAGAGCACCAAGTCTGCACAGGGCCTGCAAAGGCATCAGCAGAGCAATCTGCTCTGAGTGCCTGGCCTCTCCTCAGGCAGGGAACGCTGCCTTCCATGGCTCTTGCACTCAGGGAAGAGGCTGGGAGGGTTGGCATTAGCCATGCAGGGGACAGTCATCAGGGGAAATCAGGCTTTCAGTCAATATACAGGATTTTTTTCTACAGGCTATCATGCTGGCAGGATTGGCAATGCTCTGTATTCAGCAGGTGAAACATCAATCTAAAGCAATGGAAACAGACTTTTTCTGTATGGGTACACTGTACTGCTCCTTGTCTAACTGGGAGCACGGTAGAGCTGCTAATTAAAAAATTAAACACCTCTTAATAAGGATGTGGTACCCATTATAAACATTTACTGTTGTGGAAAACCTGCCAGTTTACTTAAGTTGCAGGTGTTGCATTGGACTGCAGATAGAGCTGCCTTTTCAACACATCTGAATTCCCCTCAAACATGCAAATATCTGTGGAGTTTAAGTCTGAATTCCTATATTAATAGATTAGATTACTTTGTACATTTTTAAATCACACCTTCACCAGGTGTGATTAAATTTAGTCACACTTCTTGCCTCAAACAATTCTCTAGCCAAGCCCAGGATGGGCACACTCAAGAGCCTGGCAGCTCTTCAAATATCCTGAGACTGTTTGTTGAGGAAGATTTTCAGCTTGGCAAAGCCACACCACTGCACTGAGCTGTGTCTCAGGCCTTGCTGCTTCCCACAATCCCTCTACCTGAACGAGGCAGTGGTTTGACCTGTGCCCCAGCCCAAGCTCCTCTGTGGTTCCCCTAAACGCCTTTGGGCCATGTATCCTGCTCAGAGCGCCTGGATCCCAGGAACTCCTGGCATGAGCAAGGAGGTGATAAGGCAGGAGCATGCACAAGACAATGAGTATTCCTCAAGGAAGGCACAAGATCTGTGACCACTGTCCTGCAGCCATCCTGGGAAGAAGGCTTGAGTGGCCTTTCAGAGCGAGTTCCTCTGGTCAGAGCCGAAAGCAGGTCATGCACAGCTTCTGGACATGTACAGGAGGAACGGAGTCAGCAGCAGCATTGTAGCATTCTCATAATTTTTCTCATTTTTCTTAATGAAAAAAGCCCTGGTGGGACAGCATCCCCTCCCTCTGCAATGAGGGGATAAGCGACAGGTTTGGTACCTCTAGAGGCACCAATCACCTGATCTGCTGCTGAGATGTCTGCACAGCTGAGAACGAGCTCCATCCTGACACAGTGAGAGTTTTATCACAAGCACACAGGAGCCCTGTCTGCTGTCAGGTGATTTTCCACTCGTGCTGCCCAAAGCGGGGATGCAGAGCTCGGTGCCGGCCCGAACAGATGCTGCCACCAGCAGAACACCAACCAGCCATCTCCCAGTGCTCCCAGCAGTGCTAGTAGGTGTAGCCTTTGCTGTAGAGCTGTGGAGGGAAGCTGCCAAGCTCTGGCAGGTAGGAGCCATTGTCCCCCAGGTGGGACAGGGGCACTGTGTCCTCCTCGCTGAGCTCCGCCTTCAGCGCCGGCCGCTGCTCGGGGAGGGCCATGGAGAACAGGGCCTGGGGCTCACACACAAACTTGTACACGTAGCGCTCCCCGGCCACCTGCAGGGGTGAGATCAGCCAGCTGAGTGCTGCTGGCCCAGGGGCAGCACCAGGGAAGGCTTGCAAAGACATCTGCCTGCCCTGAGATGTCCTGGCTTGTAAGATCAGCATGTATTCTATTTGCCATCTCTTGGAGGTGGGGCAGTTTTCTTATCTCTTCCAAGAACAATGTCTCCCTCCGGGGAGATATCTTCTGTTAATGGGCCATTAATGACTCACTGCATGACTGGTAAAGTTACATCATCCCATTGTGAGATGCTCCACCCAGAGGGAGGAGCCAAGCATCCCTACCTGCATAAAATCAGCATTTTTTAGGGCATCAGAACAGCCTCTTAGCTGGATTATCAGAGGAGCAACTTCTTCCCCGCTGGATTCCCAGAGGAAGACCAGGCCCAAATCCTCCATCACCAGACCTTCAGAGAAAACTCCACCCTTCTCCAGATCCCCGCTCCAGCAGCATTCCATCTGCCCCTCCAGGAGGAGCAGCCACCATTTAACTGGGCTATTACCAACACCCTGACTCTATCACTAGTTTTGTTTGTACTAATTACAATTTTTTTTTAATTTAGTTTTTCTCCTAGTAAAGAACCGTTATTCCCATTCCCATATCTTTGCCTGAGAGCCTTTTAATTTTAAAATTGTGGTAATTCAGGGGGAGGGGGTTTACCTTTTCCATTTCACAGGAGGCTTTTGCCTTCCTTCACAGACTCCTGTCTTTTCAAACCAAGACAGATGTGTCAGAGCTGTACATTTTTCCCTGTGCTGTCCCCTTGCTTCTCTGCTGCTCTGACCTCCCTTGGAACAGCTCCTGGGAGCTGAGATGCTGCCAGCTGACACTCTCTGTCCAGGTAACAACAGCAGCAGCAGTCCCTGAGCAGTCTGTACTGAGACAGTTCCGCTCCCAATTATCTCTCCAGGGCCCTGGGTGTGCCACAGACCATCCCCACCACACAGGACCAAGTTCCAGGCAGCCTTTCCCTCACCAGAGGAAGGACTGATTCTATCTCCTTGAAGCTGCATAAATTCCAACTCTCCTGACTGCAGAAATACACAGAAAAAAGAAAGAAACCCTAATTCCTCCCCCCCACCCCCCATTTGTTTTATTTCTCATGCTTTGCCTAAATTCAGCTCCTTCACATCTTCTCCACTGAACTACAGCAAAGAGAAGTTTTGGGGAAAGCAAGCCTGGGATGCCTGGCTAGTTTGTTTGGAGTTTGTTTTCACTAACAGGACAAGACTGCTGGGGGATATTCCCTGAGCTTTATTGCAGCATCAGCCTCATTACATGGCTGAGACAATGGCAAGATGGCAAAAGCTCATGTACAGCTACCAGCAGCCAAAGATGTCTTTGTTACATAACATTTAAAGAACTTTCTAGCCAAGAGCATGTTGCTAAAGCTCACAGACAATTGATCTAGCCAATCACTAAAAGCACATATTCACCTCCTTCACAAAATTCTTGCTGTTTGCTTTCTATTAACAAATACACAATACTCCACTATTAAGCTTAAAACCTCCTCCTCTCTTGCTAAGCATATTTTCCTGCAGGCTTAAGGTCTATCTTAGCCAAGCCTAAAACTCAAGCTATTGTTTCATGTCCTTGCTTGCTATACACTGTAATATGATAAAGCATATTATTTTTCATATTCTTTTTCTATTTACTGACTTTGCAGTTGCAGCTAGCTCTAAGTATTCTGTTTTTTCTGTTTCTAAGGCCTGTTTTCCCAGCTTTCTAAAAATCCTCTTACATTTACCATTTCCCACAGCTAGCTCAAGGACATTCTGTCCAGGACTTGTCTCAAACGAGAGGAGCATCACTTCAAGCATAAAGTTTTCTCCTGCTTTGCAGACTGACCTTCTGCATGATCCCTTTCTCGTAATAGTAGCGCAGTGAGCGGCTCAGCTTGTCGTAGTTCATGGCTGGACGGTTCTTCTGGATGCCCCAGAGCCTGGCCACCTGCAAGCACAGCACCAAGAGGCAGTGCCAGTGAGCCCAGCTGACTTAGGATGAAAGATTTAACTGGGGGTGTGTGCTCTATCACCATCTGTCAGAGCTGGGGCAGGTATCCTCTGTTATTGGGCAGTTTGCTTTATCTCTCCCACAGCCAATCCTCCCTCCAGGAGATCTCTGCTGTTAAT